CCCACCCCCACCCCAGCTCACCAGCCGTCCCTAGTTCGTCCCTCCATCAAAGCTGATACCGGTGGCCTGTGTCCACGCTGCCCTGACTCACCTTTGAGGGAAGTCTTTTGTTGGAATGGATTCTGCGGTGCTGCTGCTGGCGCTGCCTCCTTTGGCACTGTCGAAGCTCTTGAAAAGGCAGGTATTTGCTGTCTTCACTCGCAGGCTCTGAAGACTAGCAACAGAAGTGACCCAGAGAATTACAGGTCTGGAAGGGCCCTGTGGAAGCCAACTGGTCCAGCCCTCTGCCTTAAGGCGAGGCCTGTCATCATTCGTGTCAGGGGAGGATGCTACGTTTCAAAGCTCTGTTCTCCTCCCGAGAGATCCGTCCCATCACACACATTCTGATGTCTGTCCATCAACCACCAGGCTGTTATTCTCAGTATTGGTTAAATATATATCATTTATATTTCTATCCTGGAACATTCTCCTTTCAGATTTCAGCAGAGATGAACAGCAGTTAGTCATTATATTTTGCAATAAGTCTTTCTTTACATATAAAAACAGTTATTACATCACATCTCATTTCTGACTCAGATAACTCCAGGCCCTTTTTTTAAGCTTTCTTCACAGGTATTACTTTTAGCCTTTTTTTTTTTTTCCTGACTTTCCTCCAACATGCATTAAACTCTTGCCAGTGTGACCCCATTCTTAATAACACCAGTGAGCAAGATCCCATAGTTTTCTCTCATTTATTGATTTATTGCTTACACTTAGAGCTTCCATGCTCTATTGATGAACTACCAACAAAAAAAAAAATTAACCAATTAGTGATAGAAATGTAATCTTTAGTTGATTAGAAATGAAAAGTAAATATAAAAACTGTCCCACACAAGTAATTTTATGAGGATGATCACATGCTCAATTTGCAAATGGCCTAACAGAAAGCAAGTATACGTAGATTTGTAAAAAGTCAGTTATAGACTGAATTATTTGGTGGAAGACTAAAAATGCTCACAACTTGCTACTTTTCAGAGAAGGAATTCACTAATCTCCATGTTAGAAAATCAAGTTCATAAACAAAGCAAGCTAATAAAGCACTGTGAAGTAAGTTCCAGTTCTCACTAGGTACTTTCCCTTGGCTTGCACTGACCAGTGGAGGGATGGGCATGAGTGTAGCTAGGCCATTCTTATTCACATCTCTTTGAGGCTAGTCCTGAAGGGGCAGCACTGCATGTAGATACTTGTCTGTTGTGAGCAATTCTTTTACAACATAAGTCCAAAGCAAGAATATCACATTGAAAGATGTGATAAGCCTTTTTTCTCTCCTGCCATTTTAAGGAACAATAGCTAGAGAAACACCATTTCATGGTACAGGGTTGACTGTAGAGTTGATATTTACTTTCAACATTAGTTTGGTCATTTGACACTTAGGCTTTGTAAAAGTGCTATTAACTGAAGTTTTAAAAGAGGGTATTTGGTAATGAATGCAGTTTGTTTTTATTTAAAAATATAAGATGAAAGTAAACATTATTTTAAAACAGGAGGAACAGGAATTAAGTCCTTGCAACTTATCTTCACTCTTTATGAAATATCATCTAAACTGACCAGAAAAGGAACAAAGGAGAAAGGGAGAAATAATATCAAATAAATCTTAGGATCTAGGAACAGATGGACAAATGGTAACTGACTTAGAAGACTGGGTAGACTTGAAACACAGATTTGCAATGGAAGAAGACAATAAGAAGAAAAACAATTCTTACCACAGAATTCCAGAAATGTTCAGGGATTAGAGTACCAAATCCTTCTAATGCAGAGCAGAGAAGAAGACATTGGTTGAACGTTTTTATAAGAAGCTCTTAGGTCCCTGCATTTCCTCTTCTACCATTCACAGCAAAAAACACTTTTCTAAACTCTTGGGAAAGAGGGTATACTTAATCTTTGGAAATGTCAAACAAAAAATGATGTCTTAGATCACATGGTACAGCTGACACCATATTAAAACAGGGCATTCATGAACCTCTATGTAATAAATAATGAGACTTCATGTCTGTTAGGCTCCTAGAATGTTGGAAAACATGCTTATATCTATCACATTCCTATCCATACAGGAAATTGGAGGGTTAATCATTGAAAAAAACAACTCAAAAGGAGGGGGATCTATGGATACTATTAGAATACCCCCCAATAAAACAGTCTGATTTTTGTCAACACATTACAGTGAAGCCCGCCATTGAACAGGCTCAGGGACCCAGTTTCTAATGAGCTATTTTGTGTCTCACTCAAGCATGAATGGACAAGGTTGCATTCTGGTATGGCAGAGTAGCTGGTATGATTAACCTTCTTGCACCTAACAATTATAATCTGTGGATCAAGTATAAAAAGTTATTTAAAAATGCAGAAGAACCACCAAAATCCGAAAACTGGAAATGATGTAATTCATAAAAGAAAAGAACTCTTCTGAATAAAAATGCACATTTATATGGCCTTTCCTAGAGGGCTTTGCAGGCAGCACAACTCTAAGTAGCTTGAGGTATCAGAAAACAGAATTCAGGGCTGGCAGAGAGGCTAGAAACAGAGGAGGAAATTTCAAGAAGAAGGGATTACATTTACACTATGGAATACTATGCAGCTATAACAAAAGAAAGATCACTACACTTTGGGACAGTATGGATGGACCTGTAGAGTACTATGCTAAGTGAAATAAGACAGTCAGAGAAAGACAAGTATCACATAATCTCACTCATAAGTGGAATCTAATGAACAAAATAAACTGATGGACAAAATAGATCCAGAGACATAGAAGCATGGAACAGACTGACAAATTTCAGAGGGAAGGTGTGTGTAAGGGAGAGGGTGGGGAGAGGTTAATCAAGGAACTTATATGCATATATGTATAACCCATGGACACAGACAATAGTGTGGAGAAGGCCTGGGGGGGAGCTGAGCAGGGTGAAGGGGGTCAATAAAGGGGACATCTGTAATACTTTCGACAATAAAGATAAATTTTTAAAAATGTAGAAAGAGAAGTTAGAACTCAGGAATTCTTGCCTTACAACTAAATGTATTAATCAGCAAAAGAATATAAAACATTATCAATATAGTACTAAGAAAAAAATCTTCCTAGGTGATTCTGATGATTGGCTAAGTTTGGTAAATACAGACATATTCTAATACTAATTTGAATGTTCTGCTAGCACCTGTGCTTGGCACAGAGTAGGCAATATTGACTGGACAAAGAAATGAAAAATGAAAGTTCCTGATGGGGCTGAAGGTCTATCCTATTTCAAGGCTGTTCATTCTANGGCAGATGCCGGTGGAGGGGATCAGTGGGGGAAAAAAGGGGGACATCTATAACACTTTCAACAATAAAGATTAATTTAAAAAAAAAAAAAAGACTACAGTGGAGGAATCAAAAATTTACAAATAAACTGTGCTCAAATACTCAAATAACTTTTGAGCTACACATATGTGTGGGAGACTCCAAGGAACACTGCTGAAAGCACAAAGCAATAACTAGAAGGTTGAAAAAGCTGAGAAGAAATTTTAGCTGTTTCTTACTATATGGAGACAAGGACTGGAGAATAAGTCCTGCCAAGTTTAATGGTATGTTACAAGAAAAAACAAAACTCTTCAGGAAGATAACGAAATTTGGAATCTCAGCAAGGAATCATTGGCAATCCAGTATACAAAACAGAACAGAACAAAAAACATCACCAACATCAAATGTGAATCATGGTTAAAAAAAAATTTGATCAATGTAACCAACCCCAAAATGATTCATAAGTTGTATTCCCTGACAGAGGATTTAAAACAGTTATCATAAATATATCCAAATAATTAAAGGAAAAAAACCTATCATTATAAGTGTACAGATGGGTAATCTTACCAGAGAAATAAAAACTATTCAAAAGAAACAATTGGAAATTTTAAAAATGAACAAGCAAACTATCTGAAATTTTCCAAAAAAATCATTTAATGAGCTTACAGAAGAGTGCAGACTCCAGAAAAAAAGATGGGTGAACTTGAAGATGGAATATGGTATTCCAACCTCCAAGATAGTCTCTACTGAGCTTCACCTCCTGGTATTCATGCCCTTCTGAGTTCACCTACCCCACTGAATTAGGATTGACCTATGTGACAATAGAATATGGTAGAAGCAAAGGTGTGTGACTTCCAAAGTCATAAAAGCATAGCAGATTCAGCCTTGACCTCTTGGGTTGCTAATTCTGAGGAAAGCCAACTTCCATGATATGAGGATACTCAATAGCCCCATGGTGATGCTGATGTGAAGAGGAACCAGCTTGCTAACCATGTGAGTGAGCCATCATGGATGTAGGTTCCCCAGCCCCAATCAAGCCATCAAATGACTACAACCCAGACCACATCTGCTTACAACCTCATGAGAGACCTGAGCTGAAATCACTAATAATTCAAAATTTCAGATGATTCAGAATTCTGAATGCACAGACTGTATGGGAAATTAATTCTTGCTTCTATAAGTCACTAAATTTTGGAGTAGTTTTTTATGTAGCAATAAAGAACTAATAAAAGCATAGCTATAGAAATTGTCCAATCTAGAGAACAAAAATAAACAATATTGAAAAAAAGAGAACATGTCTCAGTGAATTGTAAGACAATCTTAAGCTATCCTACATGTAACTGGAGTTCCAGGAGTAAAGAAGAAAGAATTGGGGCCAAAAATTTATTTGAAAAATAATGGCTGAAATTTGCCCAAATTTAGTTAAACATCAACTTATATATTAAAAAATCTCAACAACTCAAACAAAAAAAGTAGATTTACAACCACACTTAGCTCCATCTAAGTCAAATGCTTGAAAACATTAAAGTTTTGAAAGCATTCCCTACTGAGAAAGATAGGGAAGTATATTAAAGTAATTATACAAACAACAGATGATTCCTCATCACAACTAATATAGGTCAAAAACAATGGAAAGAATAGGTCAATGGACCAGAATAGAGTTCAGAAATAGAACCATATACATGTGATCAATTAATTTTTGAAAGAAGTATCAAAGCAATTTAATGGGAAAGCAAAGTCTTTTCAATAAATTCTTAACTTACCTTTTGAAACCAGAATAAGTTGGTTTATAATACAGACATTACAAAGAAAAACTTTTTCAGGCCAATATTACTCATAAATTAATTTTTAAAAACTTAAGCAATATATTAAAAGTACAGTATATCATGATCCCATTGGATTACTCATGGAAT